AACCAGCCCGCTTTAAATGTGGACAGATCATAAAAAAAAAAAATCACAGAAGGTGTGAGCAATGGCCACAGCCCAGAGGCAGGAAGACTGGAGTGGTGGGTCTGGAGGGATCCTGGGACTGAACCAGGCCATGCCACCGTCGCCGGCTCCTGAGCTCTCACAACTGCACCTCAGTAAAGCAAGACATTGGGGGGGGGGGGGGCTCTCTCCTCAACTTTATTATTTTTTTAAAAAATTTATTCATGTCAATGAACATTTACAGAGACTTTGGATTTCCATTCATTCACTGTTGCACTTTTCTCACCTCCCAACTCTGCCCCCCCAGTACATTATACTCTTGGAAAAGTAAAAGAAAAATTCTTTCACTGTTTTACAACCCCTCCCCCGCCCTCCGCAACCTTTTTATAAATCTAAAATCCGGCTTTCAGCTGGGTCTGGATAGGGCCTCCTCAGTCTGCTCCTACCGCTAATCCTAATTAATCCCTGCTGCTGCTCAAGTATCTAAACTCAGAAATGGAGGGGAAACTATCCTTACTCGCACAAAAGATGTGGAAGGGGGGGTGGGGAGAAAAGTGCAATAATGAATGAATGGAATTCCAAAAATCTCTGTAGATGTTAGTTGAAATGAATAATAATAATAATAATAATAATAAAAAAATGATATGGAAGGCCCCCATGGTTTGAAAGCATCTACTACCAGAAACAGGCAGAACGCTCACACCTCAACAGTTATAGCAACAATACAACCCTGACACAGCCTCAGGATTTTACACTATAAAAGACAGAGGGGATGCACTAACTCCCGATTGCCCTAAGAGACAGGTGCTGCTGGTGGCCACTTTTTTACCATGGAGGAAACTGAGGCCCAGCGAAGTCAGGTAAAGTGCCAAGGCCTCCCAGGCAGTGCAGTGCAAAGTTACTGGGCTGCGAACAGTAAGGACAGCCTTCTGAACCGACTGGGAGCTCCAGAAAGAAAGGGCAGTAAGTATCGTCCAAGTAAAAATACACAGCTTTGGAAACTCAGGAGGGTCACTGAGTCGGGACTGACCAAAAGCAGTGGGTACACAGCCCAAGTGAAAATTAACCTGTGTGGATCCAAGGAGCTACAGGTGCATCCCAGAAAACACTGTCCATTCAACCCCGGGTTACTGAAACTAAGGGACTGTTGCAACAAAGGGAGTCAGTCATTCAAATGTGTATGATTTCCCAGGGAATAGAAAAGTTACATTTACAGATCAAATCCACCAGATGCTCTGCCGGGGAAGGAGGGACAATCTCCTCCTGTACCAGTCAACCAGTCAGATCTGATTTGATGGTGTACACACACACACACACACACACACATAAAATGGAAAAAAAAGTTACATTTATCATGCACACCCATGTTTATTACCGCTTTGTCTTAATAGCAAAGAGTTGGAAACAACCCAAGTGCCCATCAACAAACGAATGGATAGAGAAGCTCTGATATATTCACACAATGGAATACTATGCAGCACTGAAATACAAGGAACTCATGAAATATTATACAAAATGGGTGACTATGGAGGACATTATTCTGAGTGAAATATCTCAGTCACAAAAGGACAAATATTGCATAGGGGCCACTGTTGTAAAACAGGCCTGACATCGGGGTTGAGGGAAGACAGAAAAGGAGGGGAGGAATGATGTATACTACACTGAAACAGATGAGGGAGAGAACTGTTTAAAAAGGACATATGCATGGGTATTCTTGTCATTATAGAAATCTGGAGTGAAGGCTGCACAGTGGAGTGGACTTGGAGGGAGGGAATGCATAAAAGTTTTTCTTTTACTTTTCAAGAAGAGTGAATTAAGGGGAAGGGGATGGGCAGGGAGGAAAGTGGAACAATGAATGACTGGAAACGTCAAGTCTCTCTAAACTTTCATTAAAATTAATTTTTAAAAAACCTTAAAAAAAAGTTACAGTTATTCTAGATGTCAATGGATGAAGGAGTGGGTTAAACACTGGGGTGCTAACAACAAGGGCAGCAAATGCACCGGCCACTCAGGTAGGAGGAAGGAGGCTGCAGTCTACTCCTGTTAAGACGTACAGCCTCGAGAAAAAGACCAACCAAGACGGACAGCCTCGTAAGGGCACCATGAATCCATGAATCGGATCAGTGGCAGTCAGCTGGGCTCGTGAATTGCACACAGAATCATGCAAATGCTTTAAATGTTGCAAGAATTTCTAGAATGTGACAAGACACTGAGACTCACAGCTGTGAGAAAAATGGCAGCCATTTTTCGCTGTCTGGGTGCCACAAAACTTACATTCATGAAAAATACTGACAGCCAACCTCAATCAAGTGTGGGAGGTGGGGTGAAATGAAGCATATGCTAAAATTTGGCTCTAAGAGGAAGTGATCTAATAAGTTAGCCCAAGTAACTCTCAAAATCCACCTTCCCTGGGCTTCCACTGTTTCCTAGCTGCCCTGGACGATAAGAGGTTCAGTGTAGATATGGATGCTGAGAAAGGAGACAAGATTCTTCCAAAATGCTCCCTCTTTTCGGTCGGTCCAGTGTCTTGGGTGGGGGTCTCTGCCAAGAGGGGAGAGAACCAGGCAGCAGGAGCGCTGAGCTCCTTGTAACAATGAGACATCGCCAATGCACCACCCAAGGCCTTAAAGGCAGCATCTCCGCAGGGACAGACTCAGAAGGCAAGAAAATAGGACGGCAAAGCGCAGTGGAAACGGGACACACAGGGAGGGCGCGGGAAGAGAGCGGTCACACCACAAACGGCTGCCGTGCCAAGGCCACGACTCCAAATGCGCACGAGATGCTGAGCGGAAAAAAAAAAAATCACTCTGTGCTGGAAACTTTCACCCAAAGCGCAAAAGTAAAAAAGAAATAAAAATAAAAAAGGCACCATCTGCCAGGCATGGATGACTCGGGAGTCGAGGACGACCCCCCTCCCGCCTTATTTGATCTTCCCGATAATCGCCGCACGGAGACGGCACGAGGCTCAGACTCGGTCAATCGCCCCGCGTACCCGCTCCGAGGACACCCCCCGACCCAGGGGACCCCACCGATGAACCGCCAGGGGTGGCGGCCAAAAAACTCCTTCTGGGAAGCGAAGAAGCGAGCAGAGAAAGGACCACGTGCGAGTCGGAGGGAGGCGAGTCTGGGCCGGAAACCAGAGTCAGAAAAGAAGGGGTCCGGGGTCCCCGGGGTCAGAGGGCGCCGATCCCCCCACCCACCCCCGGTAAGTGGGACGAAGGGGATCGGGTCGGCCGGGCTCGGAGAGGAGGGGGGCCCGCCTCCCCGTTGGGAGCCCTCGGGGGCGGAGCGCGGAAGGATCCGAGAGCGCCGTGCTGCGCCACCCCCGGTATATCTGTCCCCCCGTCCCCGGGGCCGCCTCATTCCCCGTCCACACGCCACGATTCCTCACACTAGCGCGACACTGCCCCTTGCCCGTGCTGCCCCGGCCATGGCCCTGTAGCCGCGACCCTCCGCGCCCCGCGGCCCGTCTCCGCGCTCACCGCGCCTGCGCTCTCTGCTCCCGCCTTCTTTCTTCAGCAGAGGCCGCCGTCGCCGCCTCTCCTTTCAGCCGCCATGGAGTGAGTAACCGCTCTCCCTTCCCTCTTCAACCGCCTTTCCCGCCCTTTAGCAGCGCGCAGTCGTCACGGTCTCGCCGAGGGTGGGGGTGGGGGCCCAGAGTAAGGAACCTGGTCGGCAATGCGCATGCGCAGGATGGACGGAAGAGCCACGCAAGCGCAGTGAGCATGAGGTGGGGGAGCGGGGGAGGAAGAGGGCGTTCTTAAAGACCCGCGTGCTGTTGAGCCTGCGCAGTAGCTCCCAGAGGGCTTTACCCCTCCTGCCAGAGCCCGTGAAAAAAAAAAAAAGAAGGTTGTGTGCACATGCGCACTAGCCCAACGGAGCTCCTATTTGTATAAGGGCTGCCCTTGCGCCGGTGTACATGCGCACTGATTCCCAGAGGGGAGGTCTAAGAACAATTTACATCGTTTGGGTTGCTCATCGTGCTCTTAGACCTTAGTGAGAAGAAGGCTTGGAGATGGAAGTCATTCTCCGCAACCTCCCTGATGCTGTTATTTTTTTTTTAAACTTTTCATTTTATTTCATTATTTTTTGTGTGTACCGTCAAATCAGATCTGACTGATACAGGAGGAGATTGTTCCTCCTTCTCCAGCAGAGCATTCTGGTGGATTTGAACCGTGTACCTCCGAGATTGCAGTGCAGCTTCTTGCCTCTAGGCCACCAGAATGCTGTTATTTTTACGATACAGTTGCAGTTCATGCCTTTTCAGTCATGCATCTGCTGGGGTAGGGCTAGGCTTAGATAGACATGGACGAAGGCGGGGCTTAGGGGGAAAGCACCGAGCTAATAAAGGGAGGTGGAGCCCGAACATAGGGTAACCATTTGTGACTTGGGCGGGGCCAATCCGGGGCGGGGCTTGCGTAGGAAAGGGGCGTGGTTTGTTTGACACGTTGGGGGCGGATCTTAGGGCCAAGAGCTTATGGGGGTCCAAGGCGGGGAAGATTGCGAACAAATGTTAGCAAGACTGGGGTTTAAGCGCTAAATGGTGATGAAGGGACACAACTTGGGGAGAGTGTCCCTGGAATTTCCTGATTTCCGATTGAATAGATTTAGGGATGAGGTGGAATCGAAAATATTTTAGAGCAAGGAGTGCAGCTGGAAGAATATTCCCAGCTTTCCCGTAATTGAGTTTTGATGTATCAGTCATGGGGTAGGTGAGAAGAGCCTAAGGAGAATTCCTTTAGGAGAGGATGGGGCCGAGGGGTTCAGATCCTGAGATCTGAATCTGAGATCACTGAGAGCCCCGTGCCAGTGGGGTGTGGCTGGCTGGCTACTAACCCTCCCTTTTTGATCTCCCATGCATAGGTCCTCCACTCTCGCCCTGGTGCCCACCTTGGTCCATCTGAGCAACCTCCAGAGCCTCCTCCCAGCTGTTGGTGCTGCTTCCTTCCTTACCGTCCGTGCCCAGCACCTCTACTGCAGCCATGTCACTCCTGGCGACCCTGGGGCTGGAGCTGGACAGGACCCTGCTCCCAGCTAGCGGTCTGGGCTGGCTCGTAGATTATGGAAAACTCCCCCTGGCCCCTGCCCCCCTGGGCCCCTATGAGGTCCTCGGAGGAGCCCTGGAGGGCGGGCTTCCAGGGGGGGGAGAGCCTCTGGCAGGTAAGGGCAATTGGAGGTAAGTGGGGGGAAGGGGAAAAGGAGGAGTGAATGAGTGAAAGAAATATTTATTGAATGCCCACAATGTGCCATGCACTGTTTAGGTGCTACGGTTACAACTGAGAACAAGATTGACATGATTCCTGCCTTCCTAGAACTCACATTCTTGTGGGGAGACAATATGGTAGGTGCCGCTGATTTGGTCCTGATTCAATGACCATATGTACAGAAAAAACACGCTCAGTCCTATCCTCACAGTCAAACACAGTGTTTGAACTCAATATTGCAACCAGTGTCAGTCTGTCTTATTGAGGGTCTTCCTCTTTTTCATTTCCCCCTCCCCCAAATATGATATCCTTCTCCAGAGACTGTGTCCTCTCGATAACATGTCCAAAGTGTGTGAGATAAGTCTCTCCATCCTTGCTTTTAAGGAGCATTTTTTTAAAAAATTACTATTATTTTATTTTTTAAGGACCATTCTTATAGCCATTCTTTCAAGATAAATTTGTTCCCCTGGCAGTCCATAGTTTATTCAATATTCTATGCCACATCATAATTAAAATGAAATCAATTAATCTTTAGTTCTCTTTATTATTCAGCTTTTTCAAAAAAAATTTATTATTTATTGTTTTCCATTCATTCATTGTTACACATTTTTCTTGCTACCCACCCCAGTTTGCTTTTCTCTTTAAAAAGATTCTTTCATTGTTGCACAATTTTCTTCCTCTCCTTCACCCCCCAATTCACTTTGCTATACACCTCTTATTCTGCACTGTTATCATGCAAATAATACCTAATCATATATTTTTTGGACAGTTATTTCCTTCATAAAACACATTTAAATGCAGTGTTCATTATTTATCCCCTTTTCTTAGTTTTCCCCAACCCCCATGTCTGTCCCGTTTTATAAACGGTGTCATTATGCAGTATTTGTCATTTTGTGACTTGGGATATTTCAGTCAGCATAATACCTTACAGGGTCACCCATTTTGAATACTATGACTTCCTTATTTTTCAGTGCTGCGTAGTATTCCATTGCATGAATATACCACAGCTTCTCTATCCATTCATTGGCTGATGGATATTATTCAACTTTTACATGCGTGTGACTCATTGCTGTAGAAGCAGAACCAATTCACAGCTGATCCTCCTTTGAATTTATGGAGGCTGTAATTTGCATGATAGGAGATTGTCTGTCTTTTTCTTGAAGAGCTAGTGGTGGGTTTCTTTTTCTTGAAGAGCTAGTGGTGGGTTTGAACCATCAGAAAGATTCAAAGTTTCATTGCCTTTAGGTTAGGAGTGACACTGTCTTCAGATTAAGCCATCAGAACTCCCTAGCATGGATTGCTGAAATACTATGGCTTGAGTCACTAAGGAAGAAAGAACTTGAGGAAAGTGGGACTGTAACTCTATAAAGAAGTCTGTAGAAGGAGATCTGTCCAGTGGAATACAGAGAAGAGTGGAGTTAAATGAAGATGTATTGGGGATAAGGTAGGATACACTCAGTGACCGAGTTAGAAAATACCAAAAGGGATTAGTTTTCAATTGAGTAGTCAGGAAACCTTCTCCCAATACATAACAACAAGCTGCGACCTAAACAGTTTAAAGGACAGAACTATGAAAAGGCCCCAGGGATGAGCACTTTAAGAGGAGGGAAAACTTTGTGCAGAGACCCTGAGGCAGGAATTGTCTTATTCATTGTAGCTGTGTGCCATCCCTTTGCCTGTGACTCATAGAAACCCTATATACAACAGCTCTGAACCCTGCCCTGTCCTGAGCCAGTCTCACTGACTCTGACACATCTAATCCCGTTGCCCCAGTTACCGTGTCAATCCATCTCATTCAGGGTCTTCCTCTCCTGCACTGTCCCTCCACCCTTCTAAACATGATGTCCCTCTCCAAGGACTGGTCACTCTTGGCCACATGCCTGAAGTATGTGAAATGAAACTTCAAAGAAATCCTTGCCTCCAAGGAGCAACTTGGTTTCACCCTCTCCAAGACGGACCTGTTTTCTTGACTGTATCAAAAATGCATGGCACATAGTAGGTTTTCAATAATTATGAAGCAGGGTGTGCATTCAAGTGTGATATGACCTAGTCATATACTCTTTAGTATAAACTAAAGAGTGGATTCGAGCAACCACAGCTGTGGGGTAATCCATAAAGAAGATATTGTAATGTTTGAGGAATGCTGATTGGACTGACTGGTTCTTTTGTTGATGGTTTGATTTGGTGGTCGGTCATTGTTAGATTGTTGACTATTACTTTGATTGGCTGTTTGAACAGTTTGATTGACTGGTCTGCTGGTTGGTTGGTTGGTCGGTCGAGCTGCTTATTGCTTTATTGATTGGTTTGCTGATGGGTTGATTGGCTGGCTAGCCTACTGGTTACTTGATTGACTTCCTCATTGATTGATGGTTGCCGGCTTGGTTGTCTAGTGCGTTGATTGGTCTGCTGGGTGATAGGTCAGACTGTAGGCTGACTGGCTCGTTGATTGTGTGACTGGCGTGTTGATTTGTTGATTGACTGAATGGTTGGTTGTTTTGCTGAATGAATGGTACGAATGAGTGAGCGTTCAATTGAATGAGGGACCAAAAACTCAGGGAATGTTATGTCCCCTCTCCAAACCTCCAGGCGATGGCTTCTCTGACTGGATGACAGAACGGGTTGATTTCACAGCCCTTCTCCCTCTGGAGTCCCCCTTGCCTCCAGGTGCCCTCCCCCCACCTTCCCCATCCCCACCTGACCTGGAAGCCATGGCCTCCCTCCTTAAGAAGGAGCTGGAGCAGATGGAAGACTTCTTCCTTGATGCCCCACTTCTCCCTCCACCCTCCCCACCTCCACCCCCCCCACAAGTTCCTCCTCTCCCCCTCCCCACCTTTGACTTCCCCCAGCCCCCCGCCCTGGATACCCTCGACTTACTGGCCATCTGTTGCCGCAGCGAGACTGGGCCGGGGGAGGCCACAGGGTTGACACCCCTGCCCCCACCGCAGCAGACCCCTCCTCTTCCTCCGCCACCTCCATCCTCTCGTCCAGCCCCCTACCCCAACCCCGCCACCACCCGGGGGGATCGCAAGCAGAAGAAGAGAGACCAGAACAAGTCGGCAGCTCTGAGGTACCGCCAGAGGAAGCGGGCAGAGGGCGAGGCCCTGGAGGGCGAGTGCCAGGGGCTGGAGGCTCGGAACCGGGAGCTGAGGGAGAGGGCTGAGTCTGTGGAGCGCGAGATCCAGTATGTCAAGGATCTGCTTATCGAAGTGTACAAGGCTCGCAGCCAGCGGACACGCAACAGCTAGAGGGGGGTCCGGTAGGGAGTGCTAGCCTTCAGCGCTAGCACAGTTCTGTTACCCAGGCAGAACCCCTCCATCAAGCCCCTGCCTCTAACTTCATTCCAGAACCCCCCCCCCCCTTTCTTTTACCCTTGCCTCCTTTCCTGCCCATTTCTGAATTCTGACCTTTCCTCTGTCCTCAGAATAGTAGAATGTTTGGCCTTAGCCAATGGCTCAAACAACAGCCAAGGAACCGAAACCCCACCGACAGACAATCCAGGGAGCTGAGCAGAGTTTGGGAATAAGGCCTTTTTTTTTTAAAAAAAAAAAAAAGAAAAACACAACTTTTATTTTTGTGTGAGTGTACCGTCAAATCAGATCTGACTGGTACAGGAGGAGATTGTCCCTCCTTCCCCGGCAGAGCATCTGGTGGATTTGAACCGGGAATAAGGCCTTTTGAGTTTCAGGTTCAGTGGTTTCTTGCAAGTTGTTCTTGGTTGGGGGAGTTGTGGAGGTGTCCTAGGATAGAACCTACAGGTGGGCTCAGGAAGACATGCAGAATTATTGTGCAGATGAGAACAGGAGACTCTAGGTAGGTAATCAAGGAGGGTTTCTAGAGTGGGACCCTTAAGTAGAAAACTAACTAAAATGAGTGACCTTCGTTTGGGGAGGGAGTCACAAGGTGTCCAGGTTCACAGAGCAGGTAGATGGACAGGCAGTGGGAAGAAGGGACGGGGTGTGGGATGGCCATAGCTGGTGACTAGCTGTTTTTTTTTAGCTCTGGGAGGAAATCAGTGTTTTGTGAAGGTGTTGGGGGGACGGGGCTACATCTAGGTAAGGGAGGGTAGGGTCTGATCCTTTGGGGTGTTGTGAACAGAAATAAAATGAAGACTTCCTATTTGGTCTCTGTGTCTTATTTCTGAGAGGAGAAGATGGGGTGTGGACGTCACCAAGGCAGTTACAATGAGCAGCATCTTGTTGAGTTCCATCGAGTCAGAACTGGCCCGTGGCTGACCCTCCAGCAGGTTTTACAAAGGCAGTAAATCACATGGGAGAAGATTGCCTACCTTTCTCCTACGGAGCAGCGGGTGGACTCAAACTGCATGACTTTGGGTTCAGACAACTGGTTCTTCAGGTAGACAGTGAAAGAAAGAAAAAAAAACCAAACAAAACCAAACACAGCCAAATAGGTCGACTTCCCATGGTCCTTGTCTTATGCACCATAAAGGTGACCCTCACGCGGAAAAGACTGGTAACTACTTCTCATGCAAACCTCAAACGAGGAAGAGAGGTCAGTGGGAGATGGGCTAGTTTGTTGTTTGGTGTCAGAAAGTCAACTATGAAGAGAGGTCTCTATGAATAGAGACCCTATGAATGACACGTCCTATTCATGCACCACCTACACGGTCTCTGCCATCCTCAGGCCCGCGGTTGCAGCACTGTGTCAGTCCATCTCTTGGAGGGTCTTCCTCTCTGCTGATCCTCTGCTTTCTCCAGCATGATGCCTCTTTCCAAAGACTGGTCACTTCCTCCAAGAAAGACTTGTGTGTTCTCTTGGGCACCCATGGGATGGTCAGTGTTCTTTTACACCACCGCAGTCCAGAGATGTCAGTTCTTCAGTCCTAGACAGCAGCATTGCCCAATGTAACACTGACTGCTGTTCCCATGGGTGCTGATTATGAGTCCAAGTAAAGTGAAATCACTGGCAACCTCGGTCTTTTCTTCCATCTCTCATGATTTTGCTTACTGGGCCAGTGGTAAGGATTTCTGTCATCTCAAAATTGAGGTATAAGCTGTATTGAAGGCTATGTATAGTCTTTTTAAAAAACAATTTATTATTATTTTATTAGTGTGTGTGTGTGTGTGTGTGTGTGTGTGTACTGTCAAATCGGATCTGACTAGTACAGGAGGAGATTGTCCCTCCTTTTCCCGGCAGAGCATCTGGTGGATTTGAACCGTGCGCCTCTGGGATTGCAGTGCTATATATAGTCTTGAGTGGACTTGTAGCCTCTCTTTAAAAACTTCCCATCCTCTTAGGCAAAAGGATCTAAGAGTCAAGCAGCATAAATTAACTGAAACGGAGTCTGAATAAGATAAGTATTTAGCTTTCTAGCTGTGGTGGCCTAGTGGTGAGGAGTGGAGCTGTCAACTAAAAGGCATGCAGTTGACCTGTCCTGTCCTACTGCCTCTGAAAACCTACCAAAAGGTCCACTCCACTATGAGTTCGTTCTGACTTGATAACACAACAACATCCTTTAATTTATAGCGTGGAATGGAAGTTGAGAGAACCCCCCGCATCAACCAGCCAGTTAATGAGTCCACAAATCAATGAAGCAGTCAGCCAGCCAAACAGTAAATGAAGCCCTCAACAGATCTATGTGATGCTTGTTGGATAACCCACAAACTGGCTGGCCAATCAGAGAACCAGCCCATCAGCCAATCAGTTAATCAACAAATATACAGTCAGTACTGGCGGGCCAATCAGACAACCAGCCTGTCAGCCAGCACTGTCCAGCCAATCAGAGAAGCAGTCCATCAGCCAATCAGTTAATCAAGCATTCAGGCAGCACTTGCCGACCAATCAGAGAACCAGCCCATCAGCCAATCAGTTAATCAACAGGCATACTCTGTTTTGTTAATGCATTTGTACATTTTGCAAAGTTAAGTGTAAAACCTATGCGGACAGAGAGGAGGAGTGGCATCCACTTCCATAATCGTTTGCCTCCGGAAACCCTATGAACCTGGAGAGAAGATGAGAGACAACCAAGCCTTGAGGACTCTCCTTCATAGGGTCTCTATTAACAACAATAACATCAACATAGATCAGCTGGCCCAGTGGACAGAAAGCTATGCTACCAAGCCAAAGGTGAGTGACTTTTCATTCACGGCCCTCGGGCCTGTCTTTCATTATTTTTGTTCAGACATTCCTCTAGGTCGTACAGCCCTGATGTACAAGTTGTCATACAGCGGTCACTTGTGGTTGCCGTGAGGCTGAACACTGTGACACTGATGTGTCAAATGCATTAATGGCTGGTTGCCCAGTGCGGACAGAGACCGAGGTGAAGCTCCCCGATTAAAACAAGCTTGGAAGGAGGAGTGGCATCCACTTCCGTAATAGCTTGCCTCCGGAAACCCTATGAACCTGGAGAGAGGATGAAAGACACCCAAGCGTTGAGGACCTTCCTTCATAGGGTCGCTATGAGTCTCCTGCGACTCGATGGCTCTTAACAACAACAACCACAACAAGTATAAAACCTAGGAAGGAGGGAATGGAAACGGGAAACACAGGGCGGGGTTGGGGAGAGGTGTAAGATGAATAATGATGTGGGGATTGCAACCAATGTCTTGAAACAAAATGCATGAGATCTTTTGAATGGAAAACATTTGGTCGGTTTTCATCCAAATCATTTACATACACAGGAGCAAAAAATCATACATCTTAGAGGGTAGGACAATATTAGGTACCGTTGAGTCCACTATAATTCACAATGATCAGTTCTTGCTGAGTTGAAATTGACCTATACCTGATCCTCCAGTGGGTTTGCAGAGGCAGTAAATTGCACGGGAGGGGATTACTCATTTTTCATCCTTGGAGCAGCTGGTGGACTTGAACCTCATCAGTTGGAGTGCAGCTCTTTACCACTGAGCCACTTGTTATGTGCCATCTGGCTGGAGGGTCCACTGCTCCCCCCGGAGGAAACTCGAGAGGATTCTGACACTACTCTCCTATAAAGATCACAGCGTTGGCGCTGGCTGAAAATCGCCTGTGACTTCATCCATAGCCACTGGTGAGAGTCAGCGCCCAGAGCCATCAGGGGCTTTAAGCTCGTTGCCCACTGCTGTGGTGTGGACAGCTGAAACCCAGGCCCCGACAGGCACCTGGGGGGGGAACCCAGACTCTACTACATGCTCTGCTGGAGAAGGAGGGGCAGTCTCCTGCACAAGTCAGATCCAATTTGA